GCTTGATCACATCTAAGTGAACGAATTTAATTAATTTCGCACAAATGCCATCCTTACCAGGGGCGCTGTTATTTTTTAGAGAGGATATGTGTATAATAAGCTCATTTTCTCTAACCGGGCTTAAATAAAGTGATGATAAGTTTTCTTTAATTTCTAAATAATTTGGGGGGGGGGGGGGTATTAATTGTTTTCTCCATTTCTAAGCCTACATTTATAAAATATTTATTGCAAAAATCAGCCATGTCCTTATTATTCGCAAAATTAGTATTGTTTTCATCAAGAATTTGAAAATTATTAAGTTCACCCTTACCCTTCGCATTAGTGGCATCATCTATAATCTGGTAAATCCTTTTCATATTACCTTCATTTTCCTCAATTTTTGTTCGAAATTATATTTTTGTTTCTTTATTAGTTTGTTCAGTGCATTCCTATATGCAGAGTATTCTGCTTTGAGCTCATCACTATATCTGTTATTGAGCTTTCTCTTCAGTGTGTCTCTATGCTTAATAGATACAATCAAACCCTCTGTAATCCATTATTTCCTTTTTCTATAATTTGCACCCTTTATCAGACGTTTTGATGTGGCTTGCTGCAGACATTTTTTAAATATATTAATAAAAACATCAGTGGCTAATTCAGGATCTTCAGAATTATAAACTTGTGACCAGTCCTGAGCGGCAATTTTTTCTTTGAAAAGTATATAGTCTACATGATCATAATACTCTGGAGATTGTTTGGTTTTGTTTGTAGGTATGTTCTGTTCCTGTTCTAGATTTATATTTAGCATCAACGGATAATGGTCTGTTACGTCAGAGAGTCTAAAATAAATGATTTAATCTTAAGGTTATTTAATTTCAATTTTCTTTTTATGAAGAAGTGATCAATGCAGGAGGATGTTTCTGAGGTGATTCTTGTTGGGGAGTTAATATAAGAGATGAAACCATGTTGGTTCATTAGGGATAGATATTCGTTTACTGTCACACAGTCATTATTTTTTATATTTATATTTAGATCATATTTCAGAATTTTTTGGTAATGTTTCTTGAAAATAATTACTCAAGTCCTCCAAAAATATTTTATCAATCACTGGTGGAGGCTTATAGACAGCAGTGATTCCAAAAGAAAAACCGCAATGTTCAAGTACAATCCTGCTTATTGTTAAATGTGATAAACTTAGTTTAATGTGTTTTACGCTTGCATTTAATGCCTGCCTTATAAAAATTAGTATACCATCATTTCTGTTATAGTTCCGTTGTTATAATATGCATTATAGCCGGGTATATTATATATATCACAGGTAGTCACCTGAAAACATTCACTTAATATTATTATGTCACAGTAGGAGAGTTTGTAATAATCCAAAATTAACAGAAGTTGGTCAAAATTTTTGTGTACACTTCTAATATTCAAATGAAAAATATTTATAATTTTATTCTTTAAGGCAATTTGATCCCCCAGTGAAATTTCGTCAACAAAAGTCTCATGCACTTCCTCCAGTATGCCAAGGTGAGCTAATACTTCATCTTGTGGTATTTTGAACATTAGATATTATAATCTATTTTATTTTTGAGTATTTGTAAATGATATTTATAGCTTGGACAATCTGGATCAGAAGCTGCATGAGATATACAGTAATTTGTCTTAGATCTATCATTTGCTTTAATGCAATTATTGCACCTTTTTGTTACCTTTTGGCATTTTTCTACTCCATGATCATTTGCACAGTACTCACAAACCTTTCTGTTGCTGCATTTGTTGCCTTTGTGGTAGAGTTCTTGGCAGTTGAAACATCTTGGGATGCTTAGATCTTCATAAACGGGATAACGGCTCCATTCAATATACACTTTTTTGTATTCTATGAATTTATGAAACAAACCTGCTGAACATTCCGCAAAAATTGTTGATTCTGTCTGCCTTTGCTTCACATATGTTATTTTTATTTCGTCAGTATCGGAGATCCATTGGTTCTGTTTTCTAATACTTTCTTGTATCTCTTCAGGAGATTTGCTTCCCTTGTATCCTGGAACTTTAATTCTTGGCTTCATCATTCTGCTTGTAAGAATTTCATATTTATTGTCCAATGCACCTTCAGCTGCTTTCCTTAATTCTTCCACTTCATGTTTTGATGGGCATTTTATGATCATATTACCATTTCCTGCGATCCTCATATTTTTTATGCCTATATTCAAGTTTGATGGATTAATCTTTTGTGTAACTTCTTCCTTTGTTCTTTTTTCATCCTGTTTTTGTTTAGGACGAATTATTAAATTAGGCACACTAATCCTATTTAGCAATGCTGATTTTCCAGCTGCAGCGGCATATGACATTTCCAGATGTGTATTTGAATTCATGTTGGGCCTTTTCAGTTCTTCGATTTGCTCTTTTAACAGGTGAATTATTTCATTCTTATCCTCGATATTTTGATTTTTACTGTCAATAATATCTTGTAAGAGCCCAAATGTTTCGCATTTTAGGCAGCTTGGGCAGTAAAATTTCATTGCCCTATTTCGCAATTCAAGGACTTTAACTTCCGAAGAGGATAAGCCTCCGCAAGTTTTGCAGACTTTTCTCTTACAGCCATCACAGCTAAAAACGTCCCTGGTTTTCTTTTCGTTACATATTGCACATTCCATATTTACTGCCTGGCTAGTTTAGCCTCTTTCTAATTCTTGAAAAATTTATAAGGAACTGGCAACACTGCACTATTAATTCAATCACATCATGATTTCTGTTTCACAATATTCAAGAAAAATTAACTTAAAAATCCATTTCCTTTATATGTACGTGTGCTGCAACATATGATAGCGATAATGTGTATGTTGCATCTATTTTTTTTCCACTTTACATTAAAAAAACTGAAATTATTGCTCGATAACGCGTGAGAAGTAAACAAACCGGTCGGCGACGTTGCCGTATAATCATAAATACAATGAAACAGTTCATGGCATTAATGTACACAGTTTCTCAGCACATGCGCAAAGGTAGCTGCAGTCGGGCAACGACATAGAAAAATATGTAAAAATAAGAATAATTACATTTCTATTTTGTGAATGTATTGCTACGTACTTCGTTCTAGTCGGTTTTTTCGGTCTTGTGTTGTTCAAGGTGTTAAATAGAAAGTCAGTTATACCTGTCGCCGGTATTTTCTAAAAGGTAAGTTGTATACCTCTATTACCTCTATAATATGTATACCTATTACGTAAATAGGACTTTGATGCCTTGCACGGAGACGGTCTAGTCTCAAAATGGGAATGTGAAAGAAATGACCTACAGATGATGTCATTCCTACAGAAACATAATATATTGGTTAATAACCAGCTTGGATTTAGTAATGGCGTGGGCACCAGTGATGCTCTTTTTGCATTTCTGGAGCGCTTGTATATCAATTTTAATGAGGGAGAGGCCGCTGCGGCGGTTTTTTGTGACTTAACTAAAGAATTCGACTGTGTGAGTCATGATTTACTGCTGCAAAAACTTCAAGCTTACGGCTTCCGTGGCATTTCGCTTAATAACCTTGTACCCCAAGGTTCAGTACTGGGTCCAATTCTGTTTCTATTATATATGAACGATCTGGCACATGTTGAGATGGATGGATAGATTACCTTGTTTGCCGATGACATCCTTTGCCCTTTGGCACAGTCCAGAGAAATCAAACTTGCATTCAACCATAACTAAAGACTTAAAAATGATCAAAGTGTGGTGTGATAGTAACTTGCTTTTACTTTTAATGTGACTAAAAGCAATATTCTGTCTTTTAAATGTAATATAAGTAATGTATATCCCAACACTGTGGAAATGAATAATGTGGGTGTAAATAAATTTTTAGGAATACACATAGATGATAAGCTTAGTTTTCATGGTCACATTGAGAAACTTGCCAAGAAAGTTTCATCAGGCTGTATTGCATTGGAAACAGTTTGCAGAGAGTTGGATTCTGGTGCTGTCAGAATGGCATATTTTGCATTAATTGAAAGTCAATTGAAATATGGCATTCCATTCTGGGGCTGTTGTAGCCTTTAGTGCTTTCTAGGCTGTTTTGTATTACAAAAGAGGACAGTGAGGATTATTTTTAGGTAGGTAGAAGAGATTCATGCAGGCCGATATTTCTAAACCATAAAATAACTCTTCCTTCCATATATATCTTAGAAAGCGTGTTTATTGTGCATAAAAAATATAGAAATGCATACCATAATAATATTCATGACACTCGGCAGGGTTATAACGTGCCACTACCAATTCCATCAAAAAGCCAAATTAAAAAATCGTTTATTTATAATGCAAAAAAAATGTATAACCAAGAAGTGAAAAACATTTTTCTTACGAAGGCCTATTTCTCTGTGACTGAGTTTTTTGACGATAGAATTTTATTCATGGTTCGTTATCATTGGTTGTGCATTTTGAATAATTGTTTTGCTAATCCACAAATACTGTGATCTCGTTTGCTGTGTTCATTGTTGTTGTCCCTTTTTTAATTGACATTGTTTTAATTGACATAATTTATTATTATTCGTTATTATTATTGTGAGACAAATTGATAACTATTTTAATGTAAATCACTAGAGTTTATATATTTTCAACAACTTTATTTTAATTTGTGTTATACTTTTGTATTTTATTGTTGTGGTGCTGTAGCTTGTAAATTGTTTTACTTAAATTTTATACACGTGGTTTGCTCGAGGAACCGAACTTACAACTCTTTCGTTGCAAACCAAGTAGCAAACCACTGCGCCATAAGCCTATACCTATCCACGCTACAACGTACATTATAATCTCTAAGCGTTTTACTTGCTACCTATGAAATTAGTTTTCTCAAAAAGGAATGATTTTTCAGGATTGGTGCAATGACAACTTTCAATCAGGCATTGGTCACACCCCTCAATCCACAATGATAGAATTATCTGGCAAACCTAATGTTTGCCCATTTATTACTGACCTCCTTGCCTTCCAATTAAATAAATAAAACAACATGGGCAAACTAATAGGAAACGAAAAACATCTAATTTTCAACATAGACATTTTTATTATTCAACAAACCTTAATCTAAAAAAATAATAAAGCAAAAATGTATTCAAGACTAGTTATTGTAGGTAGTTAAATAAAATTTATAATTAAAAAAGAAACAATATCAATTTATTATTGTTTATTTGAAGCCTCGCCTTCTCCATCTTGACTTGAAGACCCCTTGATTTCCTCTAAACCTCTTGACTCCCTAACGTTGGTTCTTGAAAATGGATTACTAATATTAGGCTTTTCCTCTTTATTAGCTTCGGCAAGTGCCTCAAAAAGCTTCTTTGCTTGAGTAAAACTCGCTCTGCTACTTGTATGACTCTTACTACTAGATTTGGAAATAGTAGTTGAGGATTTTTGTACAATGACCTCTACAGAATCTTCAGTTTTTGCCTCTTTGTTATCGCCTTTCAGCGCAGCTTCCTCTAAAACTTGAAATGTTTTTTCACGTTCCAAAGTATCATAACTTGAGTTTGGTTCTTTGGTAAAAGCTGTAATCGTTTCGTCGTCTAGAGGCACAAAATCTACTATTTTAGGCCTGACTGCTGCCTCTTCTTCATCATCATCATCTTCATCTGCAATTATGTCTTCCAGATGAAAATTACCTCTAGCTGGATATTTAACTCTGGGATTTTTACCTCTTAAATTATCAAAATCCTCACTTTCTTTAGTTTTAAATAGATCCAAGTAGGAATCGTATGAGGAATGAGACTCTATAGCGGCCTTGCCTTCCTTAGATTGAGAAATTTCGTTTTCCTCATTTTCTGACGCTGAAGCGAGAATACTAGCAGCAGGCACTATTGAAGGTTCAGACATTACATTTTCAGCTTTAAGTTCTTCTATTTTTTTAGAAATATCCGTATGTGCCCTTTTTCCTTCTATCTTAATCGCATCTTGAGAAATTATAGGTTCTTCTTTACTGAAATTTTGATCTGATTCAGACATATTGCCAGAAATGTCAACTTCCGAGACTTCCGATTTGACATTTCGGAAAGACGATTCCCGTGGCAAAGGTAAAGGTTTCTTCACAATTGTGGCTTTGTAGAATGTTTTGGCAGCAGGTTTATAATGTACATTCGAATAAACAGGTTCATAAGACGTTGGGCTGGTATCTAGTAAACCTTTTTTCAAAGAATTAGACCAGGAACTTCTAGATTGAGAAGTTGAGGAGTATTTGTTGAGTTTAATTTCAACGTTTTGTTTGTTTGGAGATTCTTTGGTTTCTTTTTTCAAAGTCGGAATTTTACTGGCTAGAGTAGATTCTGGACTGGCAACAAATAATTTCTCTTTGTAAGAGTTATCTTGTTTATATTTCGGAGATTTAGGATAATCAGGATTTTGCGATAGTGGCACGAAAATTGTTTCTTTGAACATGAGATCTGAAAGTCGTTTGTTGGAGTTTGCTTTTGATGAGGAAGGAGTCTCTTGGTAGCTGAGTCTTTGCTGTTTATTTCGCAAATCAATATTGCTATAAGATGTTTGAGGAAGGGGCAATTGAGTAGGTTTTTTGGGGCGTAGACTGGGAGGTAGATGAGCTTCTCTCTCAGAAGTCAATAAAGCTGTACTTGTTACTGAGTCAACTAATGTTCGGGATTCATAAGCCACTATCTCAGATGGTATTGGACTTGCTGGTAATGGAGGAACAGATTCGTTTCTCAACTCCTCTATTAACATCGAATTTTCATGTGTTGATCCTGTATCATCACTCATAGTCCTTCTAGTGATCTCTTCGATAAATTTTAAATCTTCAGCATTGATTTCTGATAAAGGTCTTTGAGATTTGCTAGTCTTTGGAGGTCTCAAATTTGAAATAGATTCTTCTAAATGTTTATCAGGACTTGTAGAGATCGTTTCAGTTGATGCATACTTGGCTTTCATTTCTTCAATGAACTGAAGGTCTTCAAGGGAAAGGCGTGCATTGTTATCATGATCTTGAATAGATTCAGACTCTTCAATATCCTCAACAGAGTGTGTGCTTTTAACTTCTGATTGTTCTTCTTCTATTACAATAGCTGGAGAAGCAATATAATGGTCGTTAGTATATTTAGCTTTCATTTCCTCAATAAATTGAAGATCTTTTGCTGAAAGAGGTTCAGGTTCGTTTCTCCTTTCAATAGCTTGTAAATCTTCAAAATTCTGGTATTTTTTCAAATTACTTTTTTGCTCTGATGTATCATTATTATTAATTTTTTTCACCAGTAATGACGCTCTAGTGTGCAAATATTTATCCATAATATCGTGCATTTCTTTATCAATTTGTGACATAGAATCAGGTTTTCTTATAGTTACATCATCACCAGGAATTTCCTCGATAACAGGCCCTTCTTCACTGTCCAACGCTTCAATAGGGTCAAAATATTCATCAATAAAATCATCCAGAGATTCTGAATCATCGGAAGTTTTATCTTCTGGAGGATATTTACCTTTGTACTCTTTAACCACAGTTCTGTAAGTGTACCTAAGATCAAGAGGGGACACCACTCCATATTGGTTTTCTTTTAGGATTTGTTTGTAGCCATAATCTTGAGGTATTGGTGCGTCAACTTCTTGCATACTGGACTCTGAATGTTCTGTATAGAGTGCATCATCTTCTGTAACATTACTTGTAGAAATATCAGCGACTTCTTGAAGATTTTCTGTAGGGTCGTCAACATTTTTCTCTACATTTTTTGTAGCTTCCAGCGGTTTGGTTGTCTCAACAAAATCTACATTTTCCGAATCTTGTTTTTGAATACTTTGGGTTTCATTTTGTTCAATAATTTCTGGTTCAGTGATTTGAGCATTGTCTACAGAACTTATGGAATATCTGTTTGGTTTTTGATAGAACACATTTTCGTGAATCAATTGCTGAAGTTCGTTCTTTTCCAATTTTTCCATAATTGAATTTGATTCAGTTATTTCAGCAGCATCCACAGAGCTTGTAGAATATTGAGGAACATTTTGTTCAGTAGTATCTGTTTCAACAATTTGATCATTTTCTATAGAAGCTGTATTTTCGTGAATCAATTTTTGAACATGCTGAGGTTTATTCTTCTCAGCAACTATTATATTGGATCCAGTTATTTGAGCAATATTCACAGAGCTTGTGGAGTATTCAGTAGTTGTAGATATTTGGTAGACCACATCATGTTCAAAATCTAGTTTTTGAATAGGTTGAATTTCATTTTGTTCTCTAGTTTTTGGTTCAGCTAAACTAGAACTGGTTGAATCTCTGTTTGGTGTTTGGTACTTGATATTTTTCTGTACACTGTGAGCTTGATCTGAAGCAGGGCCTTTAAATTGTATATCAAAAGAACTAACATTATTTGTTTCTTCAACATGGAATGTTTGATCAACTGTCAAACTTCTTCTATCTTCAACTTCAAATGACTTTGCTTCAACATCATTCTTACCAGCAAACTCTTGTTCATGCTTTATAAAATTATTCACAGGCTTTTCTAGAACCAGTTTATACGCTTCCGATTTCTTTTGCAAATCATCAGCATCTAATCGCTGCTTTCTCAAGCTACTTCGCAGCTTATCAGTGTCAATTTGTTTCAACATTAGTTGCACTTCAGTTTTATAATTATTTTTGGCTTCTTTGATTTTTGGATGCTCGTCTTTTGAAAGCCGTTTTTCCTTAGCTTCTTTTGTTTTGTTAAGGGTATCGTTATACAACAGATCTTCTTCAAAGTCACGTTTTGAAGATTTCGGAACTTCTAGAATATCACATTTTTGTTCAATATTGCCTGTGTCAAGATTAAAAGTACCACTGGTAAATGATTGACTTGATGAGCTTGTGTCATCAGAATTGAATTTTGATTCTTGCACTTTCTCACCGAAATACATATTCAATAAAGTATTTTCTGGAACAAATGAGAAAGAAATATCTTCATGAGATTTACTCATATTAGTTTTTTGAAGATCTATACTTTTGTGTCGTGCACGGGGGCTCCCCAAATCACTACTAATATCAGTACTATGTCTCTTCCATTCTTCGGCTTTTTTAATTCCAGGATTCAATAATATTTCTTTCAATTTCCAATTTCTTTCTACAGATTCTCTAGTGGGAGTACTAATGTCCATTCCTCTAATAGAACCTTTTGTAATTTTCTTCAAAGTAGTTTTTTTCTCTGCCTCATCTAAAGCTTCCTTCAATTTCAGAGCAAACTTTTGTTCTTCTGTCAATTTATTTTGCGATACATTTCTAGGAATTTTATCAACAATTTCATCTAAATTTTCATAATTAATATAAATATTTGGTTTAGGCAGATTATAGTATTTTGCAGAATATCTTGGGTTTGATGCTGAATCATTTGGTTGAATATCACTGGACCTCTGATTATATTTGATACTTGAATGCTCTTCAATGGTAAGATTATTGGTTACCACTGGTCTATACAGTACTGGAGCCATTTCAGACTCAGTTCTATACTCTTCAAACACATTAATATCATCTAGACTTTTGCTTTTATAAATTCCACCTCCAGGTGGTCCAATATTTGTATAAACTTCTTCACTTTTATGTGGTTCTTCAAGAGCACTTTGCCTCACTTCACTGTCAACTATTATCAATTTGGGGTCTCTGCAAATTTGTTCTAGTTTAGGGTTCAAAACCACAGAATTCAATAAGGGTTTGCTTATGGCTAAATGCTCTTTGGGTTTGTGAGCCATAGGTTTTTCTTTCAGGGATTCGTTTTCAAATAGAATTTTTAATTTTCTAACTGCTCTGTCTTCTTCAGAAAGTAATTCGTCTGGGATGTTTTCGTCAATGTTATCGTACCAATTGCCTAAGGATTTCAGAAGCATTTCTTCTTCTACAGACATGAACTTTACGTGGGAGCGATTTGGAGGCTTTTTTTCACGTTTTTTGATAAACTTTCCAAAAAATTCGGTTTGTTTCGGTTCCGATTTGTTGCTGTCCGAGGACTCTATGCTTTTTCTTGGCAAATCTACAATTTTGTCGAGACTTTCCTGACTTTTGTTTCTTTTAAAGAAGCTTTTTTTCTCCTTGGGGGTATTTGAAGGTTCTGCCCCATATTGTTCCAAATTATCTTTACTCTTGTTCCAATTTAAAAATCCTCTATTTCCTTTTGATTTAGAGTCAATTTCAGTGAGGTTTTCTTCACTTTTAGTAGGTTTAAGTTGGCTTGTTGATTCAATAGCTAGTTGTTCTAAGCTATCTTTACTTTTGCTCTTTTTTAATGAAGATTTCTGTCTTCTTTCAAGGCTGTTGTCTCCACTTTTCAGCTTTTTATTACTTGAACGTTCAGAGCTTTTATATATACTTGTGTCGGCAATATTCTCTTTACTTTTACTTCGTCTACTCAGAATTGGAAATAATTTATCCATGTTTTCAGTGGGAGTAGTTAAATGTTCTTGCAATGAGAATCTGTTATGTAGGGAAAGATCCACATTTCTGGCCAAACTAATAATTTGTGGCGTTAAAATGATGTCTGTCTGTGTGGTAGTGGAGACTTTTTCACCTGAAGACAAAACAGTTTTTTTGTATTTATTATTAATAATAATAAAAATTGAGGCTGAGACGTATACAGTAAGCACCATTTTGTTTTTAGACGATTACACTGAAAGCACTTAAAGGAAACACAAAATTTTTTCGCCCGTATTTTCGAAACTGCTAAAGACATTTTACTTACCTCTAAAAGCAAACAATACACAAGAACCAGCACCAAATTCTTCTATGCAAGAATTTCGACATTAACTTAAATAATGTAAATTTGATATAAAAGTTGTTACCTTTAAGTTTCTCCACTTGTCCTTCTAACAGTCTTACTTTCTCTCTATAAGTTTTATTTTCTAAAATAATTTTTTGAAGCTCTTGCTGCGCTTCAGTTTTAAAATCGTTGGCTACTCGTACCGAAGTTAGTAGATCGTTTTGGAATTTTTCCCATTCATCATTCTAAAAAGATAAATCATCAGTTTTATACTGCTGACTTCTTCGGAACACTAAATTTTGACTAAAACCCTGACTCAAAAACAATAAAACTGTGTTGTGTAGATGACTAATGATTCAGAAATATGTCGGATAAAATCCTCCTAAATATGTAGTTATCTCTAGATAAAATAAATAATATAAAGATAATGCCTTTTATCTTTATGATAAAATGGAATTATAGTATTGTAAATAAAAAAGGAAATACATATAAGTAGGTATGGGTATGAATGCCTCACCTTTATTAATTGAATATTAGATTGACTTTGTATGAGAATAATAGAAGTTTTTGCTTAACAAATATTATTTATTGATAAAAAATATCCAGGTCATCAGTTTAAATTCCTTGATTGGAATTCAGGTTATTTAAACAAAAGGTGTTCCTATTAATTGTGCAACATAATGATATTATAATTCAAAGGAAAAAACGTTGATGAATGAGATTACAAATCACGATTCTTACCTCTTCAGCTCTAAGTTTCTTCAATTCCTGCAACTCATTCTCCAAATTCAAGTTTTTCCGTTCCGCTTCGCTCATATTTCTTTGAGTCTCTGACAACACTGTCGAAAGTTGCCTCTTGTCTTCCAAATGACACTGAGCTTGGACTTGAAGTTCATTGACCGCCTCCTGAAATTGTTGCAATTGGTCTGCAAGTGCACTTTTTTCAGATGACAGTTTTTCAGATTTGTATTCTAGGTCCGCCTGTGTTGTTTTCGCGTTGTTTCTAGTTACTTTACATTCTTCCTAGAATTAATTAATAAATCAAAACCAAATTGTATCAATTTATTTAGTAGTTAGTACAAATAAGAATGACATTAATAACAAATGTCAGAGTGCAAAACTTACTTGTAATACAAAAACTTGCTCCTTCAATTTTTCAATTTCATTCTTGCTTCTTGCCAGTTGTTCTTTCAAGTAAGCAACTTCAGATTCCAGCTGATCTTTTTCTTTCCTAGCATTATCCAATAATTCATCCAGTTCGCTTTTGTCGCCTAAAGCTCGGTCTTGTTCAAGTTCAATAATCTTTGTCCTAGCATTTTCCAACAAATCGGACAATCTATTGATTTCAATTTGCCTTCCTGAACATTGGTCTTTGGCCTGCGCTAATTCCTGATCGAGTTGATTGTGTTCGGCATGTTTGGCGTCTAAAGTACATTCTAGAGTCCTTACGCGTTCATTTTGTTGGGATATTGTTTCAGTCTTGTCTATGTTATCTGTTCTCGATTCGTGTAAATCACCTTGAATTTGTTCAAGTTTCAGTAACAATTGTTCTCGTTCTTCTTGGGCAGATCTCAAAAGTTCTACTAACTTTTGTTCTCGTTCCGCAGCGCTTTCAAGTTGGTTTATACCAGTTTCATCTGATCGATCTCTGTAAAGAAGCTGTTTCAAATTTTCAACTTCTTGTCTGGAATCGTTGAGTCTTTCAGTTTGTCTGCACAAACTGTCAAACATTAAAGTCTTTTCCTCGTTCAGTCGTTCATTTTCTTGTTGGAGTTCTGTCAATTGGCGTTGGAGATCTGTGAGTTCTTGTAGGGTAGCTTGAAGTTCTTCATTTGTACTAATAAATACAGATAAAATTAGGATTTCAGATACAAAAAGGCATTTTGGGGCTTACCTATAGTGGGTCTCTTGCATCTGATTGATTTTATCTTGTAAACAGGCCACTGATACTTCACTTAAATTGCCACTGGAATGTTTGTCCCAGTCTGGCGTCGTGCAAGCCGTTGTATCACCTCCATGATCATCCATAGCCTAGAAAAAAATATATTGGCTAACTTGTTTTAAAAAAAAAATTCATGCGGTGCGTGACAGAAATCTTGGGTTTTACAACTTTTACAATAATCATTATCCTAAAACGTATCACAGCCAATCTTAAACTTAAAAATTACTAATTAATACCGGCCTTTATATATCCGTAATCCATTCTTATAAAATCCAGAAAAAACGTGATTATCTCTTTGCCCGAATAAGGCAGGCTTTTCTGGAATTTTAGGAATGGATTCTGTATACGCTGATGAAAGCGCACCGTAACACTGCCGTCCTCTTAAGGTTGATCTTCCCGATCAACTTCACGCCCATGATATTGCGTCAATCTGTCCAGATGTACAACTTTCATCTTACTCCTGTTGTTGCGCTGAACATGATAAACCAAATCATTAATCCTCTTGATTATTGGGTAGGGTCCTTCCCATGCTGAAGACAATTTCGGCGACACTCCTTTCTTTCTTGTTTGATTATAAAGTCACACCAAATCACCTTCTTGAAATTCGGCTGAATTGGCTTTCAAGTCGTATCTGGTCTTCATTTGGTCACTAACCAGCTGAATATGCTTCCAAGCTATCATGTATCCCAAAAAGTCGTGCCCTTACTTCGTCGGCATAATCTCAAATTTCTTTTCGTTCTTCTTCAGGTATTCCAAACATCAGATCGCAAGGTAACCTGAGTTTTCTTCCAAAAACGATTCTTGCGGGACCTTCACCTGTTGACTCGTGAACAGCTACTTTGTAAGCCATTAAAAATAGAGGCAAATGTTTGTCCCAATCTCGCTGGTTCTTTGCGACCACTTTTGTCAGGTGTTCTTCTATGCCATCAAACTCTGGATGTAAAGGATATAAAGGTCCTTGTCTTACGAATGCCCCATGATCTCACGAATTTTCTTAAAGATGGCAGATTCGAAGTTTCGTCCTTGATCTGAATGCAACTCTAGTGGCACACCATGACGATTGAAAACTTCGTCCACTAGCACCTGGGCAAAATTGATGGCTTCTTGATTGGGAATAGCGAGAACTTCTGGCCATTTACTGAAGTAATCCATGTTAACCAAGATGTATTTGTTACCACGCTCTGACTCTGGGAACAGTCAGGCAACATCTATCGCTATCCTTTCAAATGGGAGACCGACATTGTACTATTTCATGGACCCCAGGACTGGGACTCTGTAACGAATAGAGATATTTTCTCTATCGCTATTGACGTCTTCTCTCTATTGATTTCGACAAGAGAGAAGAAGACAGCAAGTGCCATAGCGATAGGGATAACGATCTCTATACATTACAGAGTTCCAGCCCTGAGATCTGAGTTTAGGGCCTTTACTGGTAGCACAGATGTCGCATTTTCGACACCAGTTTTTAACGTCTTCATAATAGTGAACCCAGTAAATTGTCCGATATATGTCCGAAACCTTGTTAACTCCAAAATGTGCCCCTGAAGTTCCGTCATGTATTTCTTTTAATACATCTTCTACTCGATCTTTTGGAATAACAAGTTGGCTCTTAGCAGATTTTCCATCGGCGCTTTCCCAAATTCTTTTCAGTAAACCATTTTTTACGGCCAGACAGTTTCACTGAGCCCACAACGCCTTGTAAATCAAACTCTTGTTCCACACTTCTTTCCATTCTGAATTCTGGCCTACATTCATCATTTTCTTCATGATGTAGAAATTGCGCGACGTCCTAGTCTGCTTCTTGATCTGCTCTCATTTGTTTGGTAGTCTATTTGTCATCAACGATCAGACCCGTTCTTCTCACAGCCGGACCAGTGTTTTTCTCATGCATATCGATTCTTTGACGAAGCTTCCAGTCTTCTTTGCATAGTCGTCTAGACAGAGCGTCAGCATTTTCATGAAGGTTTCCTGGGTCCTTATTCTTGAAACAGGGGAGTAGCGTTCCCATGAGAACGATTGCTCCGTCTTTCTAAATGATATGCAAATGAAAATATAAGTAACAAAGACGAAACACTCATTCTCCTGGAAACGCTGCTCCCCTGTTTCAAGAATAAGGACCCTGGTCGATGTTTAGGGCTGGCGTCTCTAGATCTCCAAAAGCGTTGGGAAAGATCCCTAGATGGAGAGGACATCCTAAGTCTACAATCCCATTGCATATGTCCAAGCTTCAAATTCAAATTCAAATTCAAAATCTCTTTATTTGAAATAATATGGAGTATAAACAGTTTTGAATACAGACCATTAATCAAGTGAAACAGTGTCAAAGGGAAATGTTTTGAGTTATAATGTTGCGCTAAAGTAATCATTCAGATCGTATGGTTCTAGGTCTATTAACAATTTTTTCACCTTCCTTTTGAAACTATGTATTTAGACTATCTACTTTTTAAAAATTATTTGGTAGTTTGTTGAATATTCCTATGCACATGTTTGATGGATTTTTTTCTGTTACTGTCAGCCTATATGGATTGGAAACACTAAATCTTGTGTCTAAGTGTTATATGTAGTATTGCAAATGTTTGTGATAAATTGTGACCTATTTTTATATAGATACATTAAACATTCATACAAATAAACAGCATATAGAGTGAGAATATTTTTTTCCTTAAACTTATCCCTACAAGATTCCCTAAAATCTAATTTATTAATAAACCTCAATGACTCTTTTCTGACATAGAAATATTTTTTCTAGATTTTGGTTATTTCCCCATTTGAATACCGACTCAAAATTCGCAAAGTATGTCCTTAGAGGCTGGTTATTTGAATATCGTGACACAGTTCTGATGGCAAAACATATCATGTTCAATTTTTTTGATAGTATTTCTGTATGTTATGTATATTTGTCTATATGTACTCCTAAGAACTTTGCGGAGTTTGATATTTCAAAACTATCTGATTGGAGGTTCAATGAACTAATTTTTTTTTGTGAGTGTGTTGTATCAAATAATACCAATTTAGTTTTTTTGTTTATGAAGAATTAATTTATTTGTATTGAACCAGGATTTTGTTTTAGAGAATATTGCATTTGCTCTATGTTCTATATCTTGTGCAGTCAATAGGTTGGTGTCACCAGCAAAATTTACCATACCTACTTCCCTTTTCATTTTGCATAAGTCATTGGAGTAAATAACAAACAGTATTGGAACCAGTATACTGACTTTGGGCAACTCCCATATCACTTGTTAAAATTTTTGATTTTTTGGCATCATTTTCGTCTGCAATGATTACACGATGTGTTCTGTTTGAAATATAAGAATATATCCATTTATTTGCATTACCCCTAATTCCATATATCTCAAGTTTCTCTCTCATATCACATGCTTTGGTTAGTTCCAAAAATATGCACAGAGCCATTTTGTTTTCCTCAAGAAGTGACTAAATACCCTGAGCGAATTAAAAGATCGCGGTTTGTGTTGATCGCCCCTGTAGAAATCCATGTTGATTGTCTGTAAATAGTTTATTCTGATGGAAATATTTTAGTATCTGTGAACAGACTATGATTTCAAATACTTTGGAGAAGCTGGGTAATGGGCCTCTAACTTTCTAGTTTGTTTGGTTCTCCACTTTTGAATATTGGCTTACAAAGGGCAGTTTTCAAAGGTTCAGGGAATATACCAAACTTCAAAGAATTATTTATAATGTACGATAGTATGACACTTGAGGAATCAAGTGATAGTTTTTCTATAGCTATGGGCAAAGAATATTATAGTTAACACTTATAGAAAACCTATTCCATGTATATTTTTTGACCCCTGAATGGAGCCAGACTTTTCGAGCCGGGCTCCATCGGAGAGGTAGGCTCGCCGTAATCAACGGGGCTCCAGTTGATGGCTAGTCGGCGTTGCCATATGTCCATATAAATATGTATAATAACTTTAAAACGGTGACCGCGCTGATGTGAAAAAGCACGATATGCGGGAAAAAAATGGAAGATTTTGTTTTGAAAATATCGCTGAAAAATTGCTAGACGATAATCGCAGTTCGAACTCGAGTTTCTTACAGAAATATCATAGTTTTTCAATTTTTTTCTGGAAAACTGGCCAAGTAAAAATTGTGCAATTTTTCCAGGAAAAAGACTAAAGTGAGGAGCTTATTATGGGAAAATTTCAAAATTTTCCAATGGAAAATCATTCCAGGAAAAATTCTGGAAAATAGATTTTTTTAAGCAAAATTAATTTTCTTACATTTTATTTTTTTCCTAGAAAACTGGCAAAAGGAAAATTGTGAAATTTTTTCAGAAAAAAGAGGAAAGTGAGGATTTCATTATAGCAAAATTTCAAAATTTTCCAGTGAAAAATCACTCCAGGAAAAATTTAGGAAAACTGACTTTTTTGAGCAAAATTCATTCTTTTACATTACAATTATTTTCTGGAAAATTGGCAGAGTAAAAATTGTGATACTTTTCCAGGAGAAAGACGAAAATGAGGAGCTTATTATAGGAAAATTTCAAAATTTTCTAGTGGAAAATCATTCCAGGAAAAATTCTGGAAAATTGACTTTCTTAAGTAAAATTCATTTTCATTCTTTTTAGTTTTTTCCTAGGAAACTGGCAAAAGGAAAATTGTGAAAATTTTTAAGAAAAAAGAGGAAAGCGAGGAGTTCATTATAGCGAATTTTTGAAATTTTCTAGTGAAAAATCAATCGAGGAAAAATTCTTGAAAATTGACTTATTTAAGCAAAATTAAGGAAAATTTACCTTCTTAATTTTATTTTTTTTTTCTGGAAAACTGGCAAAGGGAAAATTTTGAAAATTTTCCAGGAAAAAGAGAAAAGTGAGGAGCTTATTAGAGGGAACTTTCAAAATTTTCCAGTGAAAAATCATTCCAGGAAAAATTCAAAGACAATTGACTCATTAAGGCAAAATTGAGGAAAATTCACCCTCTTACATTTTAATTTGTTTCTGGAAAACTGGCAACGGAAAAATTGTGCAATTTTTCCAGGAGAAAGACGAAAGTGAGGAGCCTATTATAGGATAATTTCAAAATTTTCCAATGGAAAATCATTCCAGGAAAAAACTCTGGAAAATAGATTT